AAAATGAAGGAAAAGTTATTGATGTGATGGAAAATAATATTTTATTGAAGAATGTATTGTTGAAAATGAGTAGAAGAATGAGAATGAAAAAAATAATGTGTACCAAACAGAGCCTAAATAATTATAAATTCTTTCCAAAACGAAGGCTATATATGAATGAAATGGTTCTATGTCATGTTAAAATGCAATCATTAAGAATGTTTTTCGAGTTAGAATAATCCAAGAAATTAATGTTAAATATAAATCTCGATTTTTGGTGGGGTGAAACAATTATTTGCAGAAACATTTAGTAAAGATCTCCAGCTGGTCTACTCTTTGGTACACCAAGTTCCATTTTTCTTTGGCCCCATACTCCTCGACAGAATAGAGTCTCTTATCGCAAGCAAGCAAAAATGGCTGCAATCTACAGCCTCTACATCATCAACAAGTCTGGAGGTCTCATTTTCCACAAGGTAAGTTTACCCCAAACACACCTTCCCGCACACACACATTTCATATTCTGTGGTTTAAGTAATCAAGATAGTTAAACGTTCTTCAGGATTATGGGTCCGCAGAAAGAATGGATACCAATGATAGCTTGAGACTGGCAAGTCTATGGCACTCAATGCACGCCATCTCTCAGCAGCTCTCCCCTGTATTTGGATGTTCGGGAATCCAGCTCCTCCAGGCGGACACCTTTGATCTCCACTGTTTTCAGTCTCTCTCCGGTACTAAGTTTACTTTATCTGCCTCGTATTTTCTATTTTATCATTTTGCTACATTTCTAGTAATGTTTACCGTGATTAAGTTTATGTGTGTTGAATTTTTGTGAGTTCTTAATTAACTTTGATAAAACTCATATGCTCAGTCAGCGTAAGATTATTTCTTATATAAGCCCTGATGTAGATTTTTTAATATAAATAAAATCAAAGGTCTATAAGGAAAGTGTGGACAATGAAATTTTATCGGATTTGTTGAACTCTGTTCTACGTGACTAATCAGTGGAAAATGACGAAGGTCTTTCTGATCTTGGGAAGTATAGCACATTGACTTCCATATGCTGCTTTTTTAACCTGTTCCTCATCGGTTGTTAAGCTAGACCTCTTATATCTAAATCAAAAGAGTTTTAATACTGACTCATAAGCTATATTCTTGTCTTTATCACTGTTTATGTTGAAGCTAATAATGAACTTCTGGAAATATATTGACCTGATGGCCTCATTAGGTTAATGAGTCATCTTTATGATCATGAAATAGCTACTTAGCTAATTCTTAATTTGCTAAGTGAAAGGAATTGTGCGACATAAAGAAGTTAGCAGGAGGCTCTGACAACTTGATATGTGACAATCTAATAATCGAAGGCTAGGGATATGTCCTTCGAATGCACTGCCAATTTTAGTATATCATAAAGCTTGGGAAATTGCTGGTGATAGTATGGTGTTAGTCTATTGGTCAAATGAGGCAAAATCTTGGATAGTAACATCTTAATTGGGATACAATGGGATCATCGAAATTAGACCACATTCAGTAACTGTTGATCAATCTTTGACAATCTTTCAATTCTTATATAGAATTAATTTGTATTCTGTCCTCATTTATCCTATTAATGCTTTTGGCTTGTTTTGTTTCATCATCTTAGTTGATCTTTCGTTCTCATCTTTTATTCTCTCCTTATGCCGTTATTGGTCCAAGCATCAATGGTAATTAATGTAAGTTGGATAGATTGCATATCTTTCATTAGTTTGAAATCACCATCATTTATATCTTGGGCAAGTGAAGATCTAATCCCTCCTCTATAGTTGCTTGAATTTTCACATTGAATTTGCATATGAACATCGACTCCAACAGAAACTGATCCGTAGGACTGGTGCCTAGTTGGCATTTATACTCTTTGGGATTTTTAGAGTTGGTGAAAACGGCATGAATTGACATGAGGAATATGTGCAGAGTCTTTGCCATAGTTCCAAGGAGCTGGATTCTGGTTTTTTCTTTTTTATTATTATTTTTTTATTATAATTTTTTTTTTTTTTTGATTCACTGCTCTCGTTGTCTTACATAAACTTAAGCAAAATATTAATTTTGTGATTACTAAAGTGCTGGGAAGTACCCTTGCTTAGGTTCTAGGCAGACGAGTTTGATTGGCTCAAATGGTCCATACTAGAATTAAACTACTTGTACAATGATTTGTACAACTAGTTTGACAATCCATGAGGTGTAAACATCCTAGCTATTGATTTGAATAAATGGCTAAACTGTTTGCTAACTCATGAATTATCAAACTAGTTGTACATGTATCAAAACTCTCTATACTAGGTATTGGAATAGAGTAGTGCTACAAGTACATCAAGGGTGCCATAATAGTGTCCATTATGGACACCATTATGGCACCTTTGATGTACAAAAAGAATTATCCATTGGAATAATTGTAGTTGCATAACGAGTAAGTTTGAAAGAGACTTTGGCTTGACTTCATTACTGACAGTAATTGGCACCCTGGTCAATGATTTTTATGGACCAAAATAAAAGATGAAATAGAAGGCAGGACTGTGAGAAACTAGAAAACGAGATGAGAACTATACTTGAAATGTATGAGAACAAAATGGATTAGAAAGTGGTTTTTGGAGGGCGGAGGAGTTGAAGAAAATAAAGACAGGGGGTGGTTAATCTACAGTGCTGTACAATTTAGTTGCACGTCTTTTCTTTCTTCTATAAAAAATATGAATTTTGCTATTTGTACAGAAAAATAGCCAGAAGAAGTGACTGAAATGATGTGGAGGGAAAATATTGGATGAAAAACTTGACTGTGTTTTAAATAGCAAATAATAGACATTATGTAATCCTTGATGTTCATGTAGCATTGTCCAAAAAATTATTGGCCAAGTGCACCTGACACATTTTACACCCCTAATTGCATTTGTTAGATGATCCAAGAACGAAGAAAGAATTGGATTCTACTACTAATCTATAGGCCTCTATCAAATTATTACATTTTCTGGAACTGAAATAGTATTGCATGATATTTCTGTCGTTGAACTCAACGAAATTTGTTAATAGATGTAATTACTCACTTCGCAACATAAATCTAACATCTGAAGTTATTCATTACTTTCTTATAGGTACCAAATTCTTTGTGGTGTGTGAGCCTGGAACACTTCATATGGAGGGTCTCTTGAAACACATATACGAGTTATACACAGATTTTGTTTTAAAGAACCCTTTCTATGAGATGGAGATGCCAATTCGGTGTGAGCTGTTTGACGTAAATTTGGCACAGGCAGTACAAAAGGATTGGTTTGCATTACTGGGAAGATGAATTGCTCAACCATAGATCCTGAAAATTAAAGTGATCATTTTACATTTGTTGAGTACATTCGTGTCATGTGCTTCTTTCTTTCTTTCTATGTTCCATTTTTACATGGATCTTGAAAACTGTTGTGAAAATTGGAAGTTTTTGATATCAGTTTGTTGAGAAAAGATAAGAGATTAAGTCACAATATGAAGTAAAGATCACAAGAATACAAGAATAATATAATTTGCAGAGAATGGAAATTTTATTATAATATAGGGAAAAAATACAAAGATTATGTATTTACAATTTGTCTAACAATTTCTAACTTATTCTAAAATACAATGAAAAACCAACTATATATGAGGAACATATAAGAGACGTTTAAATCCTGATAGTAGAATTGTAGATGAAGTAGAATACAAAAAATGAAGTCCAAAAGGGAAAAGAAAACCAAACGGCGTAGGTAGACAAAACAGGTGGCGCAGCGAAGCCTGGCGCCGTGGCATCCATTCTCGGGTCCATTACTCCAAAACTTGATTTTCTTTGTTTCAAAGTCTTGTTCAAGTACAACACAAATTCTACTCCCAATGGACTTCCAAATAGAATTTCAATTAGAATTTGCCAAGTAAACTTGAATGAGATTTCACAATTACATTCCAAATTTGATTCTAATTAATGTGCATTTTAATTAGAACTCTCAATTATCTTCAATACAGAATTCGGGTTACACTCAAATTCTAACAAAAAACAATACTAATTTTGGTATCTCTGTTGAGAAGCTATCCACAATTAACTGTTTCCTTGAATTTGTAACGTCATTTTTCAATAGTGCATTGTGCCTTCTCTTGCTCTATGGAAATCCTCCTGTTTTATATTTTCATTTTTCTCTGTCTCATAAAAAAATATTGGGTAGATAGCAATGAGATTGTGCTACAGTTTGTTGTACGTTGTAAGAGCATGAGCACGAGTTGTGGATGCAGAGACAGTGATAGGTAAACCTAATGAGGCGAACAATCTAGGTCATTTAGATTTGTGTGAGATCATTTTTTTTTACTTTATCACGCATGGTGTCACGTGTAAGTCACATGGGAAGTTCCCACCATGTTTGTACGAGCCACGTAGAGCTTCATATGAACCATGAGTTTGTTGCCAGAATCAAATAGGCTTGAGCAAGGACCAATGAGCTAAGTGTATGAAGCCCCACTTGAATTATCTACAAAATAGGAGTCGATAAGTGGTCCACTTAGGAGTGAATCTCCGGGCTAGGTGATAAAAAGATGAGCAAACGGAGAACCTTTTTGACTGGAAGAAAATTCTCTTTTCACTTCTCTCTCTACACCATGTATCGAAGTTAAAGTAGGGATCAATAAAGTTTCGATGTTTTAAAAAATTGATAACTAAAAACAACAAACCGAAAACACTTTTAAGTGTTTGAATGAGAACGAAATAATTATTGCAATACGTGATTTGGTATTTTCACTGAAGGACAATTTTGTATGTTTAACTATTTATATTGATATATTTGTAATTTTCTCTATTTTTACATCATAAATTGTATTTCGTTACAAGTATTTATATTTATTTCACAGTTTTGAATTATTATCTGCACCCCATTTTAATTACAATGAAGATTCCCAAGATTTGCTCAATTTTGGCACTTACGTCCTCAACTTTATTCATCTCATTTTATCTTTAACTTTCAATTAATTAGGATATCTTGTCTCTAGTGACTATTTTTCTCCAAATATTCCACTAACATGCATTGCAATGGGAGAGAAAATATTTAGTCCAATTTTTGTATTTGTTATTATTTCAATTATATAAAAATACGAGTGACAAATAAATTTTTTTACGTGTTCCTAACCTTTTGTGTGGGTGTGTGTGTGTCAAAAAGGTTATCTGAGACATAAGGGCGAAAATGATAAAGCTTTTCATAGGCATTTGAAATGTAATATGGTTCGGGAAACCTCAGATGTATTTTTAGTATGGTATTAGAGTCCTTTCGATAAATAATATGGTTCAAGTTGAAATTTAAGAATTAATATTAGGGTCCATTTGATTGCAAGTG